TGAGTGCCCCCCCCCCCCCCCCCCACGGTTTGGTAACAACTACCTTTGCAGCTCTAATGGATCCTACAATCTCCGTTGTCTGAGCCTCCAGAGTTGTTTTTTCCCCCAGTTTTTCTCCCGAGTGGACTGTTTGCTTTTTTGTGTTTTGTTTCCGTTTTTGTTTTGCAGATTCGTGCAATCACCAAGGCCTGAGGTTTCTCCCATGACAAGGACCATGCATGAATGCTCGTTCAGCTCAGTGTGAGCCATCATTCTCTGCCACACCAGAGCCCTCCTGTGTAACTATTTTTGTTATTCCTTTTTGTTCATTCGACCATGTATTTGATATGTCGTCCTTTTTCATTTTTATGAAACTTTTATAATGTCAGCATGTAATTTAGGACTTGTATCCTGGAATGTCCGGGGTCTGGGTGATGTTACCAAACGTTGTTCGATGTTTGAATGCTTACTTACCCATCGCCCATCTTTCATCTGCTTACAGGAGACTCACACCAATCCCAATACTTGTTAACAACTGGAATGTAAATTCTGTCAGCAGGCTTTTCACTCCTGCTTCTCCACTTATGCCAGAGGAGTGCCCATTCCAGTACACTTGAATGTCTCGTTCTCCTGTAGGCAGGTGAGGGTGGATAGTGGTGGTCGCTATGTATTTCTCCATTGTTGTGTCTTCGGCAGGGACTGTGTTATTGCTAATGTATATATACCCCCTTACACTAATGCAGTTCTTAAGGAACTTGCCACATTTCTGGACGATAAACTCCCCATCCCCGTTCTGGTGGTGGGTGACTAACAACCATATGGATCTTGCTCTAGATAGATTCTCTAGTACTGGAGGAGGCCATTCGCAGACAGCATTTGCCAAGCGGTGTGCGGAGATGGGTTTGATAGATGTATGGCGTACTAGACGCCCGACAGATTCCCAATATACATGTCACTCCAAAACTCATAGCAGACTTTCTCGTATCGATTACGTACTCACTACGTCTGAATCCCTGCCTGTCATCTCTGAAGTTAGCATTCAACCCAGATGCCCGTCAGACCACTCTCTGATAGTTGTGCGACTCTCTTTTGAGCATCGGCTATCCTCAACCCCCTGGCGCCTCAATCCTTTCTGGCTGACTCTGATCCTGGCTGATATTTCATCCTTTCTGTCCATCAACCTAGCCTCCACCTCTTTACTAGTTGTCTGGGACACTCTTAAAGCCTTCCTGTGAGGTCTGTTTATTCATCGTGTTAGTACTATCAAAACCAAGTCTAGGAGTGAGGAAGTGGATGCCCACCAGGCAGTGACTGACACTGAACGGGCTTACATTCACAACCCCTCTTCTCTCACTCGTAATGGGTGGACTGCTGCCCCAGAGGCTTTGGAGGGTTTGGTCAAATGGAAATCTGGGTATAAATCCTTTTTTATGAATCAGTCCTATTGGGCAGAGCGTGTGTTGACTGGCAGGCTTCTGGCTCAGATAGCGAGATCACAACAAACTGTTTCCTATATAGGTTGCATTAGGGATTCTGACAAAGCTATCATCTCGGATGGGAGGCAAATTCGGGAAGTATTCTCTAAATTTACACCACATTATACTCATCTGGAGCTGACTATTTGGATTTGGACTTGGGTGTCTCTGATTGTTCGGATCTGGGGGCTCCGATCACTCAGGAAGAGATGGAGAAGGCGGTTGCCAGCTTCCCGAACGTCAAGAATCCTGGCCCCGATGGTCTCACCATTGAGGTGTATAAAAAATATGGAAGTTCTGTAATTTCCACTCTCCACCAGACGTTCAATGAAGCTTTGGAAGTAGGACACTTGCCATCCTCCATGTATGATGCCACTATTG